TTTTTTTTTTTTTTTTAATATATATACCCGAGTGTCAAATTTAATGGGTGAACAGCCAAAAGGACAATGCAACATTTTCCTGGGAAAAAAACACATCATGATCAGCAGAAGCTACATAATACCACCGATACGATTAAATAAAAGCACAACCATATATAAACAATGATTAAAAGTCAATCCACAGTGACAGCATCAAACAAGGCAAAGAATAGCGAACATCTTTTGACCTCATTATATACAAAAATTTACATCAACCGCCTTCATTCTCAGATTTTTTTTACAATTTTCTCGCAAGAAAAGAAACTGTACATCAAGAAAATTGGTAAGGCAGTGGCTAAAGGGAACTGCCAGAAGGTAGGTAAGAAAAAAACAAGCCGACTGACCACACGCAAACAAGCCACCCAAAAATGAAAGAAAAGAAATATAGATTCAACCTCCATCTAATTGAACACTACTGCTGGTTCATCCAACTCTACGACTAGCAAATCAATATATAATGGAGAAACAGGGCAAAGTTCTAAACCAATTCTGCCTGCCTCCAAAAGAATATGCATCCAATCCTCCCAAATGCCTATCCTGATAAAGGCTAATCAAACTCTACAAACCCTACTCTTCAATCATTGACTACAAAATGCAGCAACCCATAGTTATCATGTCAACAAGCACCGCTGCCACCAGCACAGCATAGTACAGAAATCTACCCGTGTCCATGTTTGTTAATATCATTCAGTCAGTACCACAAATTTGGAATTTCATCCCAACAGTGACAGACACGTTCTTAAGGGTCAGAAGAGAGCCACGTCGCAACCACTCGAGATTCACGGGACACCGTCTAAACAAGTCTATGCTGGTGTAAACGCTTCCCGAAGTGAGGTTGCATCAATCGGGCATACAAACCACTTTTGCCCATCAATGTATTGTGAGTACCTTCCTCCACAATTCGCCCACCATTAAGTACAACAATATTGTCTACATGCCTCATCATAGCTGCTCGATGTGCAATTAGAAACGTTGTTTTGTTCCCCATGACTAGAGTGTCGAGGGCTTCCTGCACCACCCGGCTTGACTCAGATTCGATGGACGAGCTGGCTTCATCCAATAATAAAATGGGTGCATTTTTCAAAACAACTCTGGCAATTGCAATTCTTTGCTTCTGTCCTGGAGTCAGATCTACCCCCCTCATTCCGACATGAGTGTCATAACCATGAGGCAAACTGCTGATAAAATGATGAGCATTTGCTATTCTTGCTGCCTCTTTCATCTCCGCTTCACTTGCATTATGCCTAGCATAAATGATATTTTCTCTTACTGTAGTTGCAAAGATGATAGGCTCCTGCTGAACGAGACCCAAGTGGCTCCTCAACCATCTCAAATCATAAGATTTCAAATCACGTCCATCCAGTAAAACCTGACCAGCAACTGGATCATAGAATCTTTCTATCAAAGATATTATAGTGCTCTT